TCTGTAAGGTCTTACTTACCCTGACGGCCTCTTCAATCCGAACGGCAAATGCCCTGTGCATTCGCAGTTGTGATCATCCAAAAAATCGCTCTGTTCACTGTCCTCTCACCCTGTTTCATCCTTCCTGCCTAATACTGTTTCCTATGTATATATTTAGTATTAAATATAAAGTTAACTATAAAATTATTTATATTTTAAATCAAGCTTTACAGTGCTTACTTTGGGGCTAGGCTAATTGGTGTGAGCGTTGGATTTATTATTTTTTAATGGAAGGTGACTTCAGACGTATCTCTGAAGTCATTTTTCAACTTGACGACTCTGTATATAATAATACAGGGAGAAAAAAAAGCCCATGCTGAGTTTCTTGCCGGTTCTTCTCAGTACAAGGTCTCCCACCGTAGTTTTGCGAACCGGCTTAGCTTCTTGACTTTCACAAGTGTTTGCAACAGCCTAGACTGAATAAATGACATTTTCATCCCACCACCTCGGAAAGTGTAATTTTGCGCTTCGAAATCTGGCTGGAAAATTCTATTTTATTCGCTTGAGCGGCAAAGTAGATTTGAATTTAGAACATCACATATAATGAGTACTCAATATAATTGTAAATTCAAAACGTCATTAAACCTATTTAATGTAACCTCTATGGTGCCAAATTTATGATTAGAACTTTTTAAATTGTGAAAAAATTTAAATTTGGAACCTTCTTGGTTTCTTTGTTTTATTTGCGTGCTTCGCGCCATTCTAGTTTTTCACGTTTTATTGCTTAAATATTTTGTCATTATAAATTGTTTTCTTTTTCATTTTGTCATTTCCTCGCTGAGGTGGGATGAAAAGTTACGTATTGCACTCGAGTGGAAAGATTTTTCACCTTGTGCTCGTTTGTTTCCCTCGCTGACGCTCAGGATTCTAATTTAGAATCACTCGCTGCGCTCGTGATTCAACTTTAGAATCCTTCGCTTGCTCGGTCATCCAAATCGAGCACGCGGTTAAAAAGGAACTTTCCACTCTTGTATAATAAATAACTATTCATTTCTGCATTCTTCCCTTCTGCTTCCTGACTAGCGACTGAGCCGAATGCGCTAATGCATTATTCGCGCATAAATATAATTTTTCATGTTTATGGTTGATAAATCTTATATGTTGGCAAAGAAACGCCTATTTATCCATCCCGTTGACAGAGTATTTTTGAAAATACTATTGCATGGGCGATGGATCAGAAATATGGCACTTTTTGTCCAAAAACAAGAATTCAAATACAAAAAATAAGTTATGTTTTCTTTTCAGGTGTGGCTTTTGGCTATTTGTGTTACGAGTGTTACGAGCAGCAGTGCCATTCCGTAAAATTTCCGATAGGATAGGATCCGCTGTGGATCCGCTTAGTTCCGATATATATCTTGTTCATGCTAGTCCCATGTAGCTGTGGAATGCTCTACCACTCAACATTGGTAGCTCTAACAATAAGATGGAGTTCAAAAAACTAGTGCGTGAACACTTCCTGACCTGACTACGCAATCTCTTCTTTATTTTGTTATTATTTATAGTTTGTATCTATTATTATATTATATTTATTGTATCTTATGTATCTTTATATTCATATATATATTATTGGTGTAGTTTATGTAAGTGTATTAATTTGGTATAAAATATTAATATAATTTTATCCGCTATCATTTTCTAAATGTTTTATTATAAAGCATTTTGCCCTATCGCCATACCATTTGTCTCTAACACTCGTTCAGGTTGACTGGTAGAGAATGCCTATAGCATCCAGTTTGCCGTTTGCATATGTATGGCAATGAAGTTTAAATAAATAAAATATAACACTGCTGGCCTTTAGGAGATCGGACAAGGTTTGCTTCGCTGAAAGCAAAATTTGACGATTTATCAAAAGTTATTAATTTTTGTAATGATTTGTGAATGATAAACAGTGACATGCATTGTTTTTATAGACGCATTACTATTGATAAAAACTAACATTCCATTCCTTGTGGAATTTCCACTCTTGTGTCGAGTTATTTTATTGAAGAATGAATACAGAGACAGTAAAAGGAATGAACTGTGAATGAACTGTCGCTGTTTAGACGTTTCACTTGTCGTTCATTGGCAGATGCATGATCGATGCGAGTGAAAACAATCGGGAGCCGGAAGCTTTCATCGCGAAGGCACATTCCGATGGACGTCAATTTAGACATTTCGTATACGGTTTTCATCGATGAAGCATCGAAAATAAAAGCAAAAATTAACCATCTAATTTCACATCTATTAATATTAAGTTAGGATGTTAGGAGTTGTATTGTATTACAATATTTTCATTGTAAATTTGCATAGCTAGTTCGTCTTGTGCCACTGTAGCCTCCATGCTGTCAAACTTTGATGTTCATCGGATCTAAACGTAATATTATTCATTATAAATATAAATCTAACATTCCCGAGACTGTTGATCAAATATGAAGCATTTCAATAAAACTAAAAGTAATCAAAGCAACAAGTCTAACGATTAAAGACAAAAGTCGGTTAACAGATATTTTCTTAATGTAACAATCGATGACAGCACTTGCTGATCGCATTCCAAGTGTATATAAAAGCACCGCTCTTGTCAATTTCACTTTCAAAACCGCGTAGCGTGTGACGTAACGCGCCGGTTGACCCATAACCGAACTTTCACTGCGCGCGCGCAAGTTCATTGCCCACGTAACAGTGTCAAGAACGATGCTGCCCTTGTCCTTCAGATTTTAACAATACATCTGAATCGCACGATTGGAAAACCTAATTTGTTTGTTTTTGAAATGTACATCATCATCAAGCTATTAATGTTCTCGATGTTGGAGCACAGGCCTTCATAGGAAAGTGTAGGAAGGCCAGAGGGGAAGCTCTTCCTCCGAGCTGGGTGATGTTAGCTCGGGGGCCCGGCCCGACTGATGTTGGTCGGGCATCGCATATATGAAGAGTTAGCCATTTCATTTGCGCGATGTAGGCTTCCATACTAATATTGATCGCATTGCAGGTAACGCCATCTCTTGAGGATGGTGAGTAATGATTTCCTCCATCCGTTGTATATATGTGGGGCATATAGATGTCGCCACCACAAAAGGATGAAGGAAGGGAAGTAAGGATGAAACAGTGTGAAAGAACAGCGAACAGTGCAGTTTGGTGGATGCTAACAACTGCGAATGCTTGGAAGAGGTAGAGCACAGGCGATTTGCTCTTCGGATTGGAGCAGCCGTCTGGGGAAGCAACCTCCAGCTTACAGAAACACCTGCACAGTCAAATACCGCTACGCTTTTGGTGGTGTTGTATTTCTGCTGGTTAGTAGGGTTCTAGGGCTCCGTGAGGTAGGGAATTTGGTTCAGGCCAGCCCACCTTCGGCCGCATCATTTGAATTCGTTACTGAACTCCACTTACACTTAAGATTAGGTTACATCCGAAGCACGTAGGAGCCAGACCATTGCAAAAGTTTTTTGACTTTCACGATCGCCAATGAAACGATTATTTCCAGTCCACATGATATTATGTGTGATCTGATCATTCTCAAGTGTGAAGCCTACTGGTATTCCACTGTCCAGTTGCGGTAGGTCGGTACCTCATGCGGTAGAAACTTGCCATTGAACCACTTTTAATTCGGCAACCTGAATTTCATCAGCTTCATTTCATATGTTTTCACGCACACTTTTGAATTTATAAATAATCGTTAATTGATTATCAAGAGCATTACACATTAATTATGCCTAGAGTTATCCATAATTCCATACTCCCCGTCTTTAAACATATATCTAGCTGGTAAATTATTTAACGGACATCAATATCTTTTTCTCTGTCTTGAGTTCATACAACCTAGCGGATTTAGACAAGCATTCAAGGTTCTTACACCTTTAAAAAAAATCTTATTGAATAATGCGGCGTAATAAATATACTACAATGTTTAACACACATCTAAGAAGCTTTCCTTGTGAAACTTAGTTTAACACGAGATATTAGGTTCTCTAAAGTGAGACGTCAAGTCCCCTCAAACAGGCAATCTAGAAAGATATAAAAATCTACTTTACAATATTGAGGTTTATAAAACTAGTTTTCCGCTTAAGCAGTTTTTTATGTCATGCACATCTTTTTCCAATATTGATTCTAACAATATTAGATAAACAAACCCATAATAATTTGATGCAATGATGTGTTTAAAAAAGGTTCCCTAATATAATGAAAGACTGATTGCATTTTGAAGAGTCCCGGGGACGATCAAATCGACTTGATTGAAGGCGAATATTGATCGCTGTTCGCGTTGACTTAACGTCAATCAACGTGGTAAACGATCAATATTCGCTTATTGACGTTAAGTCAGCGCGGTAAACGGTCAATATTTGCTGCAATCAAGTAGACTTGACAAGTCGACTTGATCGTCTACGGGGCGTATAATCCCTTGAATAAGCATTACATCTATATATTAGGGTAGAGATGCATGTGTGTACATAGCATAGGTACGCACACTACAGTATTTTATCTTATTAGTACCAAAAAAACGGAATAAACGAACTGCTTTAATTTGGGTGTAATAACAGTGTCCTGGGCAATCATACATAATATTGATCATTAAAATAAAGAAATCGAAAATCATTTTTGGGCCCGCGCCTACTTTCTCTACACGTCCTACGTTCCGTCTTATTATACATCATATCACATTCATATGTATTGAGAAACAAGCAATGACCTTTTGATAGTAAATAATAAATCTATTGCAATCTCCAATACTGGTTTTATAGTAGTGCGAACTTGACTTTTAAAGTAAACGATTCAAATTCTTCAATACTTTTTAGTACCTACCTACCAATATAACTCTTCTTCTGATTTTTCATAATAGCTATAACATCTTCTAAAGGTTTTTTAAATGGGTTTCAACTGTGCTTTAGCATATTTATAAACGTTCTCGTGAGAACAGAGCCTGTAAAGGAATCGAAACTTGGGGGAAACATAAAAAATATCCATAATATAAATATATATATCTTTTGCAGATGTTACACCTGTGCTGGGTGTACTACTTCTCGAAGCTGTCAGAGTTCGCGGACACGATGTTCTTCGTGTTGAGGAAGAAGAAGAGCCAGATCACGTGGCTGCACCTCTACCACCACTCGCTCACCCCCTTCGAAGCCTGGGTGCTCGTTAAATTTATTGCTGGTAAGATTCTTCATCATCAGCATCATCTTCATGAGCCCATTAATGTCCCCGCTGCTGGGGCACAAGCCTTCTCTATGGTAGGAATAGCGAGATTGGGCCATGGGGTGGGTACCCCACGAGCCCAGTGCGGATTGGTGGTTGCTAACGACTGCAGTTGCAGCCGGGACCAACGGCTTGACGTGCCTTCCGAGGCAAGGAGGAGCTCGAGATAGTAAATTTTTGGTCACCTATCCAATGACCGACAACTACGAAAGTTGCTTAACTTCAACGATCGCAGCCGAACACGCTAACCACTTGCACCATCGAGCTTCTCGGTGAGATATTTATTTAAAACTATTCATGTAGAAACCAGATTTAAAGCAAGATTTAGATCAACCTCTACCAATGTTTTTCTTAAGTAACGAAGTTAATTAGAATGAATCAAAACTATAAATAAGGAGACGTTCTGTAAAATGTTATAAAAAACTTAAACTTAACAACTCTACTATTCTCAGATATACCTCGACGTTGAATTCGACGGCGAGGGTGTTCTTAAGCTAACTTGACAGCTTTATCAGAATTCTCTAACTCATGAAACCCTTGCACCTTTCTCTCCAACAGTTTATTTATATACAAAAAATGAGAAGATAGTTGGCGTAGCAGTTTTACCTGCCACGCATTTCTTTTAAATGACCAACCGAAATACACTATCAAAAAGGAAGGTAGAAGAAAGAAAATCATTTATTGACCTAGTACAGTAGTCTAATTTAGTTCACGTGTATAATCCTTAATGCCCTACCTCTCTTATATTAAAAATGTTTTATTAGCTTTAAAAAGGATATCTTCAGGAATGTTTTATTACGTAGTTCTTGCATTTATCAATGTTATGCCACCCTATACAACATTTGGCATTTACGTAGCTATCTTAAGATCTTATTAAATACAATGCTGCATTTATTTCACAATGGAATTCTAAAAACTGTAAATTTTATAATTTTGATGTGCATCAAACCCCCACTAAAATGTATACTTCATTTCTCATACATCAATGGATCTCTGAAATGTCTAACTTTATTGGTATGGTGATCCTCAAACCCTCATTCAAAATATATAACTCATTTCCAGGCGGGCACGGTACATTCTCCAACATCGTGAACAACCTGGTGCACATCATCATGTACAGCTACTACATGCTGGCCGCCATGGGACCTCAGTACCAGAAGTATCTCTGGTGGAAGAAGCACCTCACCACCCTTCAACTAGTAAGTACACTTGTTGGATGAAATGAATATTAGAATTACCTCCTCGTTGCACAATAGGATACTTGATCACGTTGTAGCTAAAATTTTGGTGCCTAAATTGTACGTAAGTATCTCTGTCCAAGGCACAGATAGATATTTGTCACGATCGGAAACTCTATGATAGTGGTGATATTTTTATATTTTGAAAGAATTGCAAACAAGCGTTTGACATTCCCTATTACGATAAACTAGTAGAGCGAGTTCTCACCGGCAATGTGAACAGACAGCGATCAACTATTACGATCTTTTGTTTACACTTGGTTTGGAATTTAAATTTATCTATTGTACGTTTCTTGAGCGAAAAAATAGCCGATAGTCTCTTCCTCGCCGGCGATCAGCAACTGCCTTATACCCGTTCATAAAGTGTTTAATTACATAAGTACTACTATCTCCGTCAAAAAGTTAACAAAAGCCTTTGAATTTTTGTTTTAAACTTACCTGTAAATTGTACGTTGTAGTGCACCGGATATTTAGTTTGCACTTTAACATCGAGAAAGAAGATGTCTCCAAATACAGTATGCTAATATTATGGTAACCTTTTCCTCGTCATTTTCCTGAATAGAAGAATTTTTATGCAGCGAGAAAATTTCGTTAATATTTTTCTCCGTATTAAGTAACATTCTGTTAATATATAGAAGATAACTATATATATAAAATTAAAAGGTGACTGACTGACATAGTGATCTATCAACGCACAGCCCAAACCACTGGCCGGATCGGATTGAAATTTGGCAGGCAGGTAGATGTTATGACGTAGGCATCCGCTGAGAAAGGATTTTGATCAATTCTACCCCCAAGGGGATAAAATAGGGAATGAAAGTTTGTGTGAGACTTTGTCAATTTTAAACCGATCGGGCTAAGACTTTGCATTGTGTATAATACAAGCCTGAGAACAAAAACTGTAGTCTACACTTCAGCTCTACACCGAAGCAAAGCAAGGGCGGGCCGCTAGTTTTATTATAATAGTAGTATTACAAAAAGACATTGAGTTACATCGAGAACTACCTTTGCTCACCTTCATGGCTGATCATTATCCTCTCGACGAAATAATTGCATCTCAAATATTAGCCAACATCAGTGTCAGTCAACGAGATTACCAATATTTTTCTATGTCAATAAACATCTTTCTGCAGATGCTAAAGATGTTTAGTGCTGAAGTTAATACGGAATACATTAAATGAACAGATTCATTAATAAATTAATCACTGATGTGAATATGTTTAAATATTTGAAAATTTATAACACTGAAAAGTCTAAAGGGCAGTTGTGCGGCCGCCAAGCCAGGTCGCCCAAACCTGCAATAACAGAGAAAAGGAGAATTCAAAGACTGGAATCGGAAAAGTATCTAAAACTAAACACGGCTAAGGCGGTACCTTAAGTTTTCGTTTGTAACACACGTAGCACAGTAACAGCAGTCATTTTGGAAATAAGGAATACATTATTTTGTTTTTTTAATTGAATTCTGAAATACCTTAGAACATTCCATATTTTCTAACTAGCGAAGTATCGAAAGGTGGAAAATATTGAGAATCACATATTCACTAATTGTCTTCCATAAGTTTTATTATGTAGTAAAAAAACGCAGGAACCGATCCAATCCAACGAGAACAAAACGATAAAATTGAAACGTAACTGACTCGCGTTAAAACTATTGAAATAGACAAAGCTTAAGCAACTTCCTTAGAAGAATACCCAAGGACGTATGAAGTAACTAGTAAATGCATTTCACAAATATTCTCGTACGCGCACTTACATCTACAGCGCCAATAAGGATATTCCGTACCGCACCTCAAATGCCATTCGACAGGGATCAAATGTTGCGAAATCTGTTAGGATATTCTATCGATTAGAAGGCTTGCATTACTGCGAACCAACTAGGGCGCCTTCCACATCGGGTCGGTGCGGGCTTATTTCTTTTTAAGCGACTTCATTCTTTTCTGTACCGAATCTGGAGGCTTACTCTTATTCAACGAAAAACGCAATTTCGATTGAAACTTCGCATTATTTCCTACTTATTATGTTTTTGGATCGTTTTTAATTATAATAATAATCGTCGTCGGAATTTAGATTGAGGGTGTAGATTTTCTAAGCCTACTCAAAGAAAACTTCCATTTGATAGTTTATCAACTTTAAATTGGCGACATTAAATTTCGTTGAACTTCGTTATCGAAAGTTCGTTTCAGAGAAAGAGAGTACCTGTACAGATTCTTTACCAAAAGGCACTTATTAACTCTGTTTCGGTGCAGTATCGTTTAGTTTACTGCTTTTTTTGGGTGTGTCGTGACAGGCGCGTTGAATGGTTCGGTAGGATTCGGCAGCCGTGTATATGCTTGATAAATAATCTGTCCCGAAACTACTCAGTGAGGGGAATCTCTCATTTAACTATATGCACTCGGTTAATAATCTGTACAGAATCGGTACAGAAATGAAAACGAATCGACGCACCGGCCCGGTGAATAAGGCGCCTAAGCATATGCAAAAAGTAGCATAATACCGCGTCAGGGCTCTACCACTGTGTTCAACTTTGATCTCTTTGTTTTTCTTTATGGCATTGTAAGAGGTTTATTGCGCCAGGTGCTAAAGCAACGCAATTAATCGTAGTACGTGCTAAATAGACGATAAGTATCTACGTAAAACAAAAAAAAACAAGCCACGGGTAACGGATTACAGATCGAAATATCTCGTAATGTTTTGAAGTTGTTTGCGTAAAAATAACATAAGGACCTAGTTTAAAATCTTAAATAAAGCATTGTTAAATAATTATTTTATATAATGTAATTTTTGACAACATTTTTTAAAAAGCAAGTTCGTCTTATTTTGTCTTCGTTTTTTGAGCAGCGTTGTGATTTCCTCTAGATGAAGACGCCAAAAGACGCTTACTGTCTAAAAAAAGAAAAAAACAGTTAATAGTGTTGAATTATTAGCCATCCTCTTCGTTTCTCTCACGGCTCAGTTTTACTTTTCAGTTGCATATCCCAAACGCAAATTCCCATCCCCATGTCTAAGGTTAGGGTGGACGGCGTCGGCAATAATGATAAATGGAAAGTCATCTGTAACAGGAGTTAGTTTTATTCCAACTGACGAGGTCGCTCAATGTGGTTCATCCTTACCTCTTTATTAAGGATCAGGAACACGTTTTGAACAACAATAAAAACCGACTTCATAAAAAAAAACACAAAAAGTAAGATCACATAATAAAATACAATTTATGTTACTAATTATGATCAAACACTCAGAATTTTGTCTGCAGTCCTACAAATTACTTACTTTTAAATCTTACATTCATCAAAAATGTTTAAATTGGTCAGTTAATAAGAAAATTGAGGCGTTTCGTCTGAGACCCCACATTCGGTGAGTCATAGCGTTCGACTTACAACAGCTACAAATTTATCCTTTTGGCTACAATTTTTTTAATAGGTCTTGCTAAATCTTTATGTATCCGAAACCTACGTTTTCCACTATGACCCCTCGGAGGGCATGCACATCAGATTTACCAACATGCATTACGCTGACTCTAAATATTAGTAAAGCTATACCTTTATAATGTACCATACCTTTTATAATTTTATTTATGTAAAAAATAGTTTTTATTTTCCACTTTTTATAGGCCAGAGTTACATCAACTAACCTGCCCTGCATTATCTCCTTCATATCTCTTAAAATAAACAAACATGAATTAAGTATTATTTGTAATTGATGAGTTCCATTTTTTCTCCCAAAGTACTCATCAGATTTCACCAAATTATTATGAGACTATCATGCCAAAGAACTGATTCAGATAACAAAATAATCGTTAAAGTCAGTCCACGAATCTGTGCGGTATAATCGAACAACAATAAAATAAAATAATTACTGACAAATTAATAACCTCCTCCTTTGAAGTCGGTTAAAAATTTAGGATGGACGGCGAAAACAATCACTATAAATCGAAAGTCAACTAAAGGCGCTGGTTTTGCTCGAACTAAGAAGGTCACACATTAAGATGAAAGAAAAAGGCTCGCGCAGTAGGACGATTGCCATTCACTGCCCTGTGGCCTACGCGGCACAGCACATTTCCATTGTCGCATGTCGTCACGACAGATTGTCGTGCAGCTAAGATCGTCTTGGCTTGTATATTTAAATGAAGGTATTCACATGGACGAGACGAGGACGACACGATTTTTTTTTTGTTACTGACGAGAGATTCTAAAGGTACATCGTAACAAAAATCGGTTTGCCGTCACGATTAACTCTTTTTTTGTGTGTATAATAAGTTTGTCGCAGCTGATCTTTATAGCGTCGTCACCGGGCTTGATGGCAACATGAATCGTCGACTGTCTGACTGTCGCGAACCGATAAAATAAATAATTATTTATAACACTCACACCAATTAGTCTAGCCCCAAAGTAATCACTATAACCATATTTTTCAACGGATCCATGTTAAACTGCATTTATGTGCATATTCCCACGCAAATACAGCAGAATGCAATATAATTTATATTATATTGCTATGAATCAAACTCAGACTAATTTATTCAGTTTAGGCTGTTACAATCACTCATGAACGTCTAGAACCTACTCCCTAACTCCCTACCGTGTTGCTCTATGGCTAGATAATACATTTATTTTTATTTGAGTGTGTATGCTGTTGGTCATAGATGACCTTTACAGCGTCACCGGGTTTGGGGACCGCGAGATCCTAAGGGGACCTCAAGTCGAGAATTGCCGAGTGCCTCTAGAGGTATTCCAGGTGGGTGGCATCACCCCACGGAGGGAGTCTCTAGACCACTCGAACCTAAGGGGTCCGGCTCAACTAGAGGGCGTTTCTAAGACTCGGACCTTGGCTCTAGTTAGCCGCTGTCGTGGGAAGGGCGGGAAAAAACGCCCAGGTACGTACCTGTACCTGGTATAGCGTATCGTGTGTAGACCTTGTCTTCGCACTTTTATCCTAAGGACCGCACCCCTTCTGCTAGTGTGCAA